TAGTTCAATGGAAATTAAAAAAAAAAAAAAAGTTCAACAACTTGTAAAATGTTGTTTAAGGGGTAAATTTTAACTAATTTGTCAACTTTTCTTCATCTATAATTATCTAAAAAAAATTAAGATCAACCGAATGACCCACGAGTTAAGAATCTTGACCTACGCTTCTACTAAAAAGTGAACTTAATGCCGATTCTGTTTTTTATAATATATATATATATATATGGGGTTTGCTAACGCGCGTACGCCTGTTTTTCAGTTGGTACATTTTAGCAATGTGTACCGGGTTTTAGTAGACAAAAATATCCTTATATATCATGGATTCTAAGTTTTAAGGTTAAGGGTATTTTAATAATTTTCATTCTCAAAACTAAAAAAGGAAAAAAAGAAATCTCCCAAACCCTTACTCACCACTCTCATTCCTCTCAACTCTTTCTCTTTCCTCTTTCTCACTCCAATCTTTTCTCTGTCATCCTTACTGTAGCCCCAATTGAAAAAATCAGAAACACTGGCTGTTAAACAATCTTACATAAAATGATTTTATAATGAGTTTTCATCTTATAATTTTTGTCTTATCTAATTTTATCCAATTTTCACAAGCATGAAGGAATTGATAATTGACCTGGAAAAAATCAGAAATACTCGCTGTTAAACAATTTCTTACAAAAAATGATTTTATAATGAGTTTTTATTTTATAATTTTTGTCTAATATAATTTTATCTAATTTTCACAAGCATAATGACATCCGAAAGAATTGGTAATTGGCCTGGAGGGTTTTTTTAGAGATGATGATTCAACAAATACAGATGATGAAATTAGAGAGGTTAGTGAAGATGGTGAAATTGAAGAGATCTTGAATGAACCTTTGCCTTGAAGGTGAATATGTCAATGACTCAACTCTTTACAAAGGAAAATTTTGGGGCTACAGTATGGATGACAGAAAAAAGGTTGGAGTGAGAGAGATGAAAGAGAAAGGATTGAGAGGAATGAGAGAGGTGAGTAAGGGTTTGGGGGGTTTGTTTTTTTTTTTTTTAAGTTTTGAGAATGAAAATTATTAAAATACCCTTAACCTTAAAACTTGGAATCCATAATATATAAGGATATTTTTGTCTACTAAAATCCGGTATACATTGCTAAAATGTACCAACTGAAAAACAGGCGTACGCGCGTTAGCAAACCCCTATACATATATATATATATATATATATATATATATTAAAACACGCTTAATTATATAAAATTTAACTCTAATTATCATTAGGATTTATCATCATATTTTCGACGTATTATTTATTTTTACATCATATTTTTGGAGACTGAAGTTTTATTATGATTTCTTTAAGAAGCAATTTCAAGAATGGAATGAAGATTTAAATTTTTTTAAGTCTTGATTTTAAACAATGTAAAACTATCCAGTATACTAAGAACGAGGTCTAAGAAAAAATGACCGTTCATTCTCATGAATAATCATTTATTTCAAAACCTCATTATTGATCACCATGAATATCAATATTTTGATCCCAAATTTGTTGATTATTATTCTTACGATCAATAAGTACATTTCCACCGTTTTAAAAGTTAAAACATTATCACAATTAGACGTGGTAGGAATAGTTTTATATAATTAAATGGCTTAATTTATAGATATTTATTATTTAAATTACCATATTATTATTACATAATACAAAATGGAAGAACTACATTCCAAAATATCAACCGTTCATCTAATTAATTGTGTAGGCGTGTCATTAAAGCGACTCTCATACCCAGTTTTAAACAACGCATAAAGGCATAAATACAACTATTAATGCTTGTGTCAGTTACGATGAAACAGATTAAAAATAATATATTTAAATTTTTTTAATAAAAGAAGTAACTGAGTATATTTATTGCTTTCTTTCTATTATTCACTGACCATATTTTCCTGAAAAAAGAAACGAAGAATAGGGAGGAGTTAAACTCTTTCACAAAGCACCAAATACAGAAAAGTTGACATGTAGCTGGAAGAGTGAAAAAGGTGAGTGAAAGAGGAGAAAGAAAGGTGACAGATGCTTCACATTTGTTTATGAAAGCAAGAATTTCCGTATCAACGTAAGAAAGAGAATTTCTACAATAATCCAAAATCACACTCATTAATTCTGTTTATAAATGAAAGTAGTCTCAGCCTTCATTCTTCACTCTTCACTGAGACACAGTGATCAAGCAACTTTTCCTGCTCAATTCCCTATTTCTGCAGATCTACTGGGTATCCTCTTCTCTCTATCCTTTTTTATATGCAATTTACTGTTCAATTCAGTCTCTTTTTTCTTTTTTTGCCCCTTTCATACGTAATGATTTTGTCGATTTTTTATTTATTTTCAAAATACTCTGTTGATCTGGACATTCATCGTGACTTAAAGATCTGATATCACTGATAAAAAAGCTGATGGAAAAATCTTTTTTTTTTTTTTTAGTTTTTCTTTTAATCGATTATGTGGTGTTTTCAATTGTCAATCATGTTTTTCAAAGCAAAATAAAGTTTTATCGCTTAGAGTGAAGGATACTATAGTTCTATTATATATAGATCAAAATCATATTTCAAAAATAATAAAATTTAGATAAAACTACCTGATTTTTTATGTTTTTTTTTACTTGTCTATTTTTAAAGAGAAATTCTCATTTTTCAACATAGAGACGTATTTTCTTTTTTATAAATGATATGATTTTTTATGTTTAAATAATAAAATTAAGTAAAAGAGACTCTAAGATCGTAAATCAGGATTGGCGCAATTTGACTCGATTTCCGAAGAAGGATTTTCTACGGTCGGAAAGATATATACATTTAATATTTTGATTTTTAGAAGAAACTAATAAAATGTCGGAATGAAAAAAAGGTAGTTATTGAATCATATATGATCTTATATAGGTATACATGTCGTTTGAACAGTTAATCCATGAACCATCTTATTTCTTTTTAAATTAAGTTTTATTTTATTTTGCCCAGTTTCAAATTCTAAAATTAAAATTAACAGAGTATTATTAAAGAGTTAAATATGTTTTTGATCTCTTAATTTTTAATAAAAATAAAAATTAGTTTATTTTTAAAACTTTAAACTAATTTAGTCTCTTATTTTTAGAATGATGTGAATTTAGTTAATCAAATGTTGTTAAATTTATTTGTGGTTCCAAACTTATTTCTGAACTACAATTGAAGAAAAAATGTATAAAACATTATAAACAACTCAAATAATATTATGAAATATGTTTAAAACGTTAAATAAACTTAACAAAACTTCGCTAAAACGCTAAAATGACTAAATCTATACATTTTTTTAAGTTTGAGGAAGTAAACTTAGTCCAAGTTTCAAATACAAACTAATTTCAAATTTTCACTAAATTTAAGAGATTAAAAATATATTTAACATTTTTTAAAAGCCTCACCCCCAAAATCTCAGTAAAGTGGGTTGAGACAAGATTAGGTGGGGTTGACCCCATAAAATAAATTAATTCATTTTTAATATACTTTTAATTATTTCTTTTTTACTTTTTTTTATAATCTCTATCCAACAATTTTAACATAATATTATACAAATATTTTTTTTTTCTTTTTCATTCCAAACATCTTTTTACAATGTTGAATCCTCAAGAAAAATTATAGTTTAAGAATTTTATTGCACAGTGTTAAATTTTTATTATTTAATAAAAAAGATGTAGTTTTGATAGAAATTAGTGTAATAGTTATTTTATACAGATTTTGAAAAATAAAAGTTAATTTATATTTGCTTCTAATAGAATTGTGAAATTAAATTTGTGAGATTAAAAGTATATTATTATTTAAATTAAATTGAGACATTTTTTTTGTTTGATTTTGATTACACAAAATTATAGTTTTAACCTGTCTGAATTACAGGTTTATAAAACATGTGAATTTTATAAAATAATAATTATATTTAACAAGTAAAAACAAAAATAATATTGTATTTTAATACATATATGAATATATTGTATTTCTTTATATCAGATCATTAATGCTCTTTAATGATGGACATAGAACTAGTAGGGAAAGAAAAAAGTTGTGTAGAGGGCATTCTGTCAAGTTTTTTGACGAGTTTGTTTGTTTTCATTTTTTTAAGTAAGTATTTATTTAATAAACAATGAGGTTTTCGGTTTCTGTTTTTTTAATCTGTTTATTTCAAAAATAAGTCATTTTCTTCTTATTTTAATAAGTAAATATTCTTTGCCACTTAAATAAATAGTTATTTTAAAAGTATTTATTCTAATATATGTTTAGTTTTAAAACAACTTTTTTAAAGTGGAATCTTTGGACCTATTTTATTTTTGTACTTAAGATCGTGTGTGGGCACATAGCTTTGGGATTAACCTATGCGTTATTAGGAAATATATTATTACTTGTCGCAAGAACATATTCTCCTTCATATATAAACGTAGTTGGATATTTCTATCCATATACTGTGTCAGCTTCAATTATTATAAAAGTTAATGAAAGATCTATAGAAGATTATATATATATATATATATATATATATATATATATATATATATATATATATATATATATATATACACCAAATTTAAGACATTTATTATTATACTAAGAGCTAGAACTGGTGTTAAGAAGATTAAAAATACTTTCAACTAGGCATCGTAGTTTATAGGCTTTCGTTCATCTAAAAATATATATATTCATAGTTTACATACAACAGTTTGTTGAAATGTGTTGGGATATCATTTATCAGGTGGGAACAGATTAAAATTCTCTGTCCCTGTTTCTTAAGATTTTTTTAATTAGAGATATATCTCCTGGTAATTCAATCTATTAATAGTACTACGTATGAAATAGTTCTTATATTTACAGGAATTTAAAATATATTCAATCCATTTTCAGATTTTTTTTTTCCATAGCGCTACTTATAGCATAATGATCAAATGAGTTAAGAATTTTAATAGTATTTTCTTTGGATTGATGCAGGTGTAGTGACTTTCGGAAGTTAACTTGGGAACAATGAATCCTGAAGGTGAAATCATTCCTCTATCGAACATTTCGTTTGTGAAAACTCTTTAATAATTTGATGTTCTTTTTGTTGAAGGTGGCGGATCAGTTGGAGAAGCTGACGAAAACAACCAAAATGAGGAAGGGCTCCTTGAAGAAGGGTTTGGTGAGGCAGAAGTGAATGTCGCTGAACAAGGTGAAAACAACAATGGTGTTTCTGTTCATGAAACCCTTAATGCTGTAGCACTGAATTCTAACATCTCCTCTTCAAGCTTCCATGTTGGAAGCAGCTCGAACACCGCGAACATTCCAAGAAAAAGAAACTTGTGTAGTTCTGGACAATTTTACGAGGGTGAAAGTTCAAACATGGGTCAACAACAGACAGGAGAGGCTAAAAGGCTTGCTACTGAGTCTGGGGTTGGAGCTAACAACATTAATGTGAGCCAACAGAATACAGGAACACCCATTCCAGCACCCAATACCGGTGCTAACAGAAACGAGAATACTGATACTGGGAGAAGAGCTTCTTATGCTGGACATCCTCAGCAACGCTTACGTTCTGTTCAGCCTATATCTTTTCTGGGTAGTTCATTCGTGCCCAGTGCTACCACCACTGTGAGCGGCGTAACCGTGAGGACTACCCCTCTCACCCGCTGTCCACACCCAAGAGTTGATATTATAATTCCGTTTTATGAACATGGTAGCACTTCAACTTGGGCTCCCCCACAGGGCACACCAAGAATGAACCATTATGCTGCAGGAAGCAGTTCTGGCACTCAGAACAATCAAACTTCTCAGCAAACACCACCATCTGCACTCCCACCCAATATTATTTCTCCTGAGTTGAGAACAAGGCTTCCATCTGAGGTACGCCCAATGCTTTTACCTTCTTAGCTAGCCCTAACCCTAACGTGCATTTCCCAAGGTAACGATATATTAAACAAACAAAAATTTCATATATACCATATGGAAAACGAAGGTCAGGTCTTTCCCTAGAGGTTTATACATACAAACATGCAGTTAACTTAATTTATTTATCACTCTATATTAAACAGTAAGTGTCAATGCATGGTTATCTAGTTTATTATTGTTAATATTCTTTCAGATGATTTAGTCATAAATTCTCAGTGCACATTATACTGCACACTTATGAAGGCTTATTTCTCAACTTCTAGATTCTCCAACAGCTAGTCTTATATTTCTTTATTTTTTTTCTATATACCATCCATGACAACAGAATTACACGATCGAGTTTCCTTAATTCAGTCAAGAAAATTTCTCGTATAATTAAAATCAACAAATTTTGATGCATTAAAGTCGTATATATATATATGTTGACTGATTATTACACATTTTGAACATACTTTTAAATCGAAAACATTATCACTCTTTCACTTTGGCGGTTGATGCAGATTCCTTTTTTGTTTGTTTACCGTATTAATTTATTTGGTAACTAATTTAGCTTTTACTGGTAATTTTAATATATATATATATATATATATATATATATATATATATATATATATATATATATATATATATATATATATATGTGTGTGTGTGTGTGTGTGTAATTTATTTTTATTTTTTTTATACAGGTTCGATCTATCTTGGATTCTCTAAGCAATGGTGGCGGTCTAATCTTTGAGGTATATTTTCGCACTAATGTATCTGCGTGCTCTACAATTTTGTAATGTATTTTGACAAATATATGATGGAACAAGTTTAACCTTAAGTATATCGTATTTTAGATCTTATAACGATTAACCGAGCCACCTTTCAAAACCATTTTGACTTATGGATCCTATAAACATAACTTTCATAAAAATAAATAAATATTGTAGACTTGCTTTTTCATTTTTACACCATAATTTCTATCATTTTTCTTTTTATTCTCACGATATATTTATCTCATCTTTCACATTCTGTTTCTACTGATTTTTTTTCTTTATTTTCTCTTTTTACTCCTCAAATGTGCATTATTATAGTATTCTGATGAGATCATTAATTAATATTCAATGTGTTCAGGGTTCATAATGTTATTCGGTTTGCTTTTAAATTTGTCACTTTTAATAATTGTAATTAAACAAAACATGTTTTCTGTCTATATCCTGAGACTTGATATTCCTTTACCATTCGTGTTACAGAGGTATGAAATGGAGTCACTTTTATTATATACACGCCTCCATTTTCTGATCTATTTTTTTAATCTCTTTTCTAATTTATCTCATGTTATCTTCCTTTTCATAACATATATATCTCTTTATTTTTTTCGTTTCTTCTTCCTATTTATATAGTGTACCCTTTCTACATCTAATAGTAGTAGATAGTAGTGCTTGCCATTCCATGAAGTTTCCACCCCTGTTATTTTTCACTATGTTTTTCAACCCATTTAGTCTAAGAAATCCCAAAAAAAAAAAATCACGAGTCATCTCAAAATACATTTTAATATTGTGCCTTTTTTTTTTCCTGCTTCTTCAATTACCTCAGTTTCATACACCCATCCATAATTTTTCTATTTTTAATTTATACATGTAGTTATTTAAATATTACTTTCTAAAGCCTTTGCTAAAATCTCATACGGCCTATGAAATTGGTCTGTGTTCTTATATCCTCTGAATTCTCCTTCTTTAGCACCATATAAACAAAGGGGAATCACTATTGTTCCACAATTCCTTTAAAATCTTCCAAAACTTTTCATAATTTTCGAAGTTGATCATAACTTTTCACTGTGAGTCTCTGAAACTCTTGTTCCTTCCAGGCTGGTTTTTTTCATTCATGTTTTGGAAATAAATTTTGAATAGCATTTTTTAAAGACTAATGGTAGGGTGACATACTTTTACAGTTTGACATATAGAATAAGAATAAAATGGTCATGAAGAAGTGAACTTTTATATTTTATAAAAAAAAGAATAAAAAGTAATAAAGGTAAATGAATGTAAAATTTTTATGTATATCAAAGTATTATTATTGTTTTTTAAATTCTAGTTTGAGAGGAAGCAATGCATTTACACTTATTTTTTCTAGTGAGGAGTAGATTTCATTGTAGTTTAGAATAAAATACTTGGCATGATTATTGCTCTAAAAATTATTATTTGAAGCAGATAGAGAACCCTGAACCATCTACGGGACTAAGTCTCCAAACGATCATGCAACACATGGAGCGTGAGACTTGGGTGGATGTTGATGGAGATGGCCCAGTAGAGCATCCACAAAGATGCACCATATGTCTGGTGAGTTATGATACATTTCGATTCATAGTTATTTGGAGAGGTTAACTCGACACATGAAACTCTTTGATGATACTTGAGATGATAAATATTTCCGCATCTCATTTCTAACATTCTGTTGTTGGGAAAAGCTTGAAGGAAGTGTTTAAAAATTGGGAGTAATTAGAAGATTGAGAGAGAGAGAAAGATTTGTTGTAATATTGAGTGTTTCTAATTTTGTTTGACTTGATTACATATCATCAATTACCCCTATTTATATCAGTGGAACATTTTTAACTAATGGTTAAGATTTTGTCACTACCAAATTACACTAAGGAATATAATTCATTTTCTGAAGTTTCTAAAATATTTCTATGATTCTCAACATTATACGGACTTTTCTAGAAACACATTACAGATAAATACTCTTTAAATATTTTTATATTTCGTTTTATAATCTTTTTAGATTTTTCTATAATTATATTTGAACCTTTTCTAATCTTTAACTTTTATTTTATAGACCTAAAATATAAAATCAATTTATAATTCCAATATCTATTAACCATTTAGACTATTATTTTCTTGGATATAAATAGTATTTTTCTCTTCTTAAGTAATTGTTTCCTTAATTCTCTCTCTCTCTTTTTTTTTTTTGGAAATTGTGATTTGTCTTCATGTTCACATCTTTTACCTTCTTTTTACATTATTGTTTCCATCTATAGGAAGACTTTGACAACGGATCAGAAATCGGGAAGATGCAGTTATGTGATCACAAGTTTCACTTTGATTGCATCAAACAGTGGCTCATGCAGAAGAACATTTGCCCTGTGTGCAGAAGAGTTGCATTGGAAAGGCATCTGAGCAGCCCAAATGTAGAATATGGTTATTTCTTTCTTTAATGGTGTGTTCGGAACATATGGAATAAATAAGAATGGAAGAGAAGAAAGTTGAAATGGTCGAAAGAAGAGACGGTTTTTAGGAAGAATAGAATTATGAATTGATAGAATAAAGTGGATTCTATGCAATAAAATTTCACCAAAGTTTGATGGTGGAAAATGAACAAACTTTTTTATTCGGTTATATATGAAACACTTCATTATCAATGTTTAAATTTCACTTATTGATAAATTTGATATATATGTGGTAGTTACTTTTTTATCTCACTTTTTTCACTAATCTAGTTTCACTCGTCTATGTTTTTATATAAAAGTTCCTTCGAGCTATGTTAATAGCTCAAATATATATTTATAATAGAATACTTAAGGTATTGTAATCCATTTATAACTATGTACATATAATATTTTTGAATTGCATTAGGTTTAGAGTGTTCTCAACATAACCAATAAAAGGCATAACATTATAGACCCTTCAAAAATTTACCTACAATCTCAGTTGATGTGTCAAGGTAGTGTTACAGCTTACAAAGATTGAGATAAAAACAACTTACTTCTGCATTCCTTCCCCTTATAGTAAAAAATGGGAGTTGTCAATGTATTTATATTTGTACTATATGCAGTTATTTTGCTTCAATTTTATACACTTTTGCTTTTCCTTAGAGTGATATGACATAGCTAAACTCTTGTTAGCTTCGCACTCCTTGGTTTGGTACTTTGTTTTTACTCATCTTGCTTTTCTAGGTTTCCCATGACATTCTTGCTCTATTTCATGATCTCTCTTGTATACTAGCCTCTGAATATATCATCTCTTTTCGCTCAACTTCTTGAGATTCTTGTGCTGTTCAGTTCCCTCCATAGTAATTCATACCATACCATAGTAATTCATGATACCTGCATACAGACATACGCCTAATGAAGCTGATAGTTACTACTCCATATCAGATTAGCACTAGTCCTAGATTTATAATCTTTTCCGAATTAGTTCTCATTTGCTGCACAACAGTACTGTGTTCAGAACAGTTATTTAGCTTTAGCAATCACAGTACGAGCTTAACATATATAAATTCACTAACACAAAACAGACTTATTATGCCACCCAATATATTTCTGACCAATAAATATCAGACATGAAAAATGCACGATAGCATTATTTTAAATAATTTATCAAAATTTATGTCTAATGAAGAGGAGTTAAACGTAAATGGCTTAAATTAGTCAAAATTTTTCCAAATTTTCACGTACTTTCCTAGATCCTTCCACCACCACGAGTCTAAATGAAAGTTCTTTTTATCATTTAAGGCTCTCCATAACCCATATTTTGAAAATAAGATATAGCACCATATCGTTCCTTCTTTCTTAACCTCAATTTCTAGTTGCCTAGAAAAACAATATTGAATCTTCTCAAGTCTTTTATTCTTAAACTCCCTCTTCTTTGGACTTATATACGGTTTATCACTTTATCCCTACAATATTTCTATCCTCGTAATCTCATCCAATAAAAAGTTTCTCTCTATTCTATTTATTTCTCTGTTATTTATAAATTAAACTTACATACTAAAAACTTATTATGATAGTAAAAATTTGATTTGCGATAGTAGGTGTTGGTTTAATTAATAAACAACGCCATAAATCTCTTTTTATCAATGCGATTATCTACCTACGGTGAAACATATAAAATGATTAAAAGATAAATTTCTAAGGTTATTTAAATTTCGTATTATGGTATAAAAATTTTAAAAGATAATTTATGTAACCTCCCAAAAATACAGTATAAAACCATACCATAGAATATTCACAGTTAACAGTATTAAAGTTCAGTTCGGAAAGAGAGTAAGTACGTTTATGGCCGAACGGCCTTACAACAATACTTAATAATTTAAACTTTACAAAATCTACAGTCTAGACCGAACGGTTTCCAAAACGATGCTTATATCGAACGGTTATACAAAATGAAAGTATTTAATTGTCGAACGGTCTTAAAGTTCAGCCTTAACCTCCACTTCTTCCAAGGTTTCTTCCAGTAAGCACTCTTCCCCTTCTGCTCACATCCACAGGATGATCATTGCAACAGAAATAACAACCGAACAAACAATACAGACAAGACAGGAAATAGGGTAAGTTTATGTAATTTAATAAATTCAGTAAAACATATATTTCATATAAAACTGATATACATCAATAAGTCAATCATGCAATCATCCAATCATACATTTCCAACCAAAATTATACGTTAATGCATGTAATAACCGACTACTTTACTAAGTCCGGACTATATGAATTCTGTGTAACTACGACGTTTTTGCACCCGGGTGATGTAATAGCTGGGATACCCTCAACAGCTGCCACCCGAGGTTAGTCCGTTTCGTCCAAGTTCACCTTATGGACTAGGACCTCCTGCCATTCTCACACATGACTTACTCCTCTCTACTTGAGAATGAGTAATCACAGAATATCAGGATAAGCGCCAGCTAAGCATAACCACATTCATACCCTACCATTCAATAACCAATCATGAGATATTCCTCCCTAGAATACTCTTTCATTACATTACTATTTCATTCATATCACATTTTAAATACCATCATATTTATTCATCAATACAATCAAACTGAACCAATAGAAACAAATCCCACCTTAAACCAAAACTGAACAATAACATCCACCCTAGAGACAAAACCGAACGATTTGAATACTTTTTAGACTAACACAACCGAACACTTAGTGTAAGACCGAGTGGTCTTCCACTTACACACAGAATAGGACCGAACGTTCCATTGNCATGACTTACTCCTCTCTACTTGAGAATGAGTAATCACAGAATATCAGGATAAGCGCCAGCTAAGCATAACCACATTCATACCCTACCATTCAATAACCAATCATGAGATATTCCTCCCTAGAATACTCTTTCATTACATTACTATTTCATTCATATCACATTTTAAATACCATCATATTTATTCATCAATACAATCAAACTGAACCAATAGAAACAAATCCCACCTTAAACCAAAACTGAACAATAACATCCACCCTAGAGACAAAACCGAACGATTTGAATACTTTTTAGACTAACACAACCGAACACTTAGTGTAAGACCGAGTGGTCTTCCACTTACACACAGAATAGGACCGAACGTTCCATTGTAGATAAGACTCATCATAAGCCGAAAACTCGTGATAATATTTGGACGTTTACCGGTTACTCAACAGTTACTACAGAACAGTATTTTAATAGACAGAACTCCTAAGAATGTACCGAATACTAAAGAATACATATAATTTAGACTTAACAGAAAATCATAATAACTTTTGATGAAACCTGAGAACTTAAACCGAACCTTACAAGCTTTAACCGAATACTATTGACTTAGACCGAACACTCTTAGTTCAAATATAGTACAAAA